CAGGCTGAGCAGGAGCCCACGGGCCGTGTGTCCCCTCTGTGTTGCAGGCTGGAGTCGCCCACGCGCGCGCTGGTGATGGAGGCTCCCAAGGGCATCGAGATCAACGCCGAGGCCGGCAGCCTGAAGGCCACGTGCAGGACAGAGCTCAGGCTGGAATCCAAAGATGGAGAGGTGAGTGAAAAGCCCTGCAGCAAGCATGGGTGCCCTGCAGAGCTGTGGCCCTGTGGGTCTCCAGGCTGCTCTGTTTGAAAGCCTGGGGACAGTGGGCTCTCCTGACTTCATTGCTGCCCTCTCTGATTAAACACATCCCATGCAAATCAGGCTCACTCCATGGCAAAGGCTGATTCATTATTTTTCAAGTACATGGATAATAGCATCTGTTGTTCCAGCAGATTTATGCAGCTGTAAAATGCACACTGCTCCTAAATTCTTTGTTTCCTTGTCACTTTAAAACAAGATTTACTTGGCCAGCATAATTAAATCTTTTATCATATATTATTCTATAAGAAGAGCTTAATTCACTGGTATTGATCTGAAAAGCTTTTGTGGCTGATGTTTCATTCTGGAAAGAAAGGGGACATTAGGAGACAAGTTGTTGCACTGGAGAAACTTCCAAAGGGGAAGAGAGAACAATTAAAGCTGATAACATAGAGCAAAAGTTAAGTAGGTGTTGGGTTAAGCCTCTTCTGGTGTCACAAAATCATGAGGGCACATGGTTTTGATGGTTTTCTCATCCCCTCCTGCCACAGTGATGGAAGACACCAAAGGATGAGGCTGAGGAGCTCCTGGTGGGGAAACCATTGAGAGCCTCATCAGGAGGAGCTGCCCATGGAACACAAACCTCCAGGCAAGAGGGCTCCCACATAAGTTTTTATTTATCTTAGTGTCAGGGATAAAAAACAGACATTTTAATTTCAATTTTTGTTAATTCTAAACATTTGCATTTTAAGACAGTTCAAACCTAGACCGTGGATGTTAACAAAAAAAACCTCTGAAAAATACCAATTAAAAAAAAAAACCTACCTAATACACTGAGATTTAGTTCCAAGGCATTTCACAAATTCAAGCAGTTGCTTTCAATACTATGTTGCTTTTAAAATCCATAAATTGACTTGTATCTTTCAGGACATGAGATGGGTGGATACTAAACTGGGAGATTCTTACTGTCATTGATGATATTCTCAGTCATCCAGTATTATTCTGGGGTTCAGGTTATTTTACTGAATTTTGGCTGATACCAGAGCACTCCCCTGCAACTGCCACATGTCTGAGAGCTGCCACATGTTGTTTGCCTTATGTTGTTTTGTAAGGAGGAATTTAGGACTGTTAGAGCATTTGAGTTATTTTTAATAGACACAAAAGTGTTACACATATACATAAAATATGCATAAATTATACATAAAATATACATAAAAGTCAGTGCTGAGAGCCTGCAAATGTAACTGGCAGTGGGATCACAGTGACAGAGATCCTGATGGAGGAGCAGGGTTGGGTGGGTGTGAATCATCCATGCTCTCCATCTGACAGTGGGGTACCTCTGGTTGGATCAATCCAAACCTGGGATTGGATTCCTGGAGGTGTCCCAGGAAGCCAAAAGCCAAGAAAACACGGTGGGTACATCAGCAGAAACAAACTGGAGATCATGGTACAGGCAGATATTTGTATCAAATACCAAATTTGTATCAGACTTTCCCATCCTAAAACACTTCCCTACCTGGTTTTTGCATCAGCTGAGCTGTCTAGAGGAAGCTTCTTTAAACACAGAAATCAGAAATAACTCTTTCTTTAAATCAGAAATAACAGCTCCCTGCTAATTCTCTCTTTTTTTTCTCTTTCTCTCGCCACCTCCAACTCCAGATAACGTTGAATTCTGCAAAAATCAAACTACCTAACTTGCCTCAAGGATCTTCCTCTTCTGCAGGGTCCAGGCAAAAAATCTACGAGCTCTGTGTGTGTCCCAATGGGAGGCTGTTCCTGTCCCAGGCAGGCAGCAGCTCCACCTGCCAGATAAACACGAGCGTCTGCCTTTGAGAGACAATTTGCAGAGGGGGCATCACAGGCAGCACAAAAGCCAGTTCTGGTCTCACAGATCCAGCTGCCAACTATTTTTACTAGAACACAGAAAGCCTATCAAAGACTTTTTTTTTGTGTGTGCGCGCGCGTGTGTGTGAATATATATATAAAAAATATATATAAGATATATATATATATATATCCTCTGTGTAAAATGATGTTTCAGTACAAGGAATCCCAGGGTGACCCTGTTACATTTGTGTAGCATTTCTCTTTCCCACACCAAAATTTACTGGTACAATCTGCTGAATTGGATCTGATGCTCCCCTGGACCCTTCTGTATTAGGGTGCAATGATCACCCCTCGTTTTTGATCATGTTCAATGGGATTGCTGGCTGGGCAAGACCCTGGAACCAATGCAGACCCACCACCATCCAAAGGGAAGAGAAGCATCTCTGATTATTTTTGTACCATTAAATCAGTGGCATGAAAAAGAAATAATTTCAAAAACAACAAAACAGCCAGATGTGCTGTGGTGATCCCCTCCAGTGATCCAAGATACCTGAGGTTAAATTACTCTTTAATTATCACTTGAAGCATGGCTCCCTGTTGGGAGAGATGGATTCACTTGGGTGGTAGGAAAGTCCAGACCTTCATGCTGAAATAAGAAATGTGATTTTCTGAAAGCGTTCAACACTGGCCTGTCCATGGCTAAAGATGCCTTGTGTTATTCAGGTGTGACACATCAGGTCCAACATTAACCTAAAATCATCTCTGTGCTGGCAAAACTGGTGTTGTACTTAGTTATTGGAAGGAACAAAATTGTGAAAGTTGGACTAAGTAGAAAAATTCTGAACCTCTTTTGTTAACAGGTGTCCTGGATCGCCTTACAAACTCCCCATTAACACCTTCAATTTTGAACATAGTTGGTGTGAAGGTGTGAAGATTTAAGATTTGGACATGGCCTAAATACCTGTAGAAACAGAGAAAATCAACTAGAAACTGAGAAAATCATAAAATTAAGTGTATAATGTAGCTACAGTACCAGAATTTTTGTCATCTTTCTTTTCGAGATATACAGTCCAAGGTCACTTAGATTTGGTGGAAGCTGCAAATATCAGAGATGCTGACAATGAAAGACTTTTTTTAAGGATTTATAAAGATTGTGACAAAGCCAGATTACTGAAAGGAAGAGCTTTGGATGCTGGTTCCTCTAGAATTTGAGTCCCCCAAACTCTGTGGTTGGATCTTATCACGGTTGCATTTTTTCCTTATTTTAAAGTCTAGGAGTCACAGGCAGGATAAAACACAAAAATTTGATCTGGTAACATTACTTCCACTTCTGAAATTTTGGAAAATAATGATAAGAACCCAGATCATTGAAATTGACCCATAATTTCATCCACATGCATGTAAAAATCCTAAAAAAACCCCAAATATACCAATTACAGCAAACGTTTCCAAGTCACAGTAAATATCACAAGGACAGCAAGGTTTCTAAGCCACTCAGATGCTTTTGAAATATTACCTCATGTGCAAATAAGACAGATCTGTGCCCATCCCTAATGATATCTAACCAAAGCTGGTATTCTTCAAGTGATCTTCAAGGCAAAACACAGCTGACAGAAATCTTGAAAAATAATTTAGCCCATTCCCTTTTTTTTTACATCTTTTCATGTATTTTCTTGTGGTCTCAAGAGTACCAGGATTTGACTTCTTTTTTTAATTTTTTATTTTTTAATTAACAATTCTGGCTTAATCCAAAACTGATTGGACTCAGAGAAGATTTCTATGGAGTTTAGATTAGATGTGTTGCTGCCTAACAAAGCAGCACTCCCAAAAACATTCCTGAAAGAGGACTGAATTATTTCCTTTTATTTCAATAATGCTTTTCTGATAAATTAACGAATTCAAACTATTTGTTAATGAATGATTCCTGTAATTATTATGTCTTGAGTCAACGTTTGAATGCAAAGGGTCACCCAGGGTAACAATTGTATTGGGACACAGGACTGTACCATCTCTGTTCAAAGAGGGGAATTGTGCCTATGCCTTAAGTCAATGCACTCAGCAAGGAGAAGCACATCATATTTATCTTGTTATTAAATCTAGTTTATTTGGGGGGCGGGGCAGGAGGGTGTCTTGGGAACTGGTTGTGCAACTTAAAACAGATACTGATGAAATACATTAAGACTGTAGGGGCACCTAGAATGATACAGACTTTTTTTTTTCTTACCATGTTAATTATAGCAAAGTACTGTGTATGTTACCTCTGGGACCATGGCTGAAGTCCCATTCATAGTCCTACATTTACTGTAGATTTTTTTTTCCCTGTTTCATTGAATACTGATCACAAACCTCATAGCAAGTGTGACTCAATCCATAACCAAATCCTGTGTGAGCAGTTTGAAGACATGTGCTGCAGGAAGAGTTCCCTGTCAAGGGATCAGATTAACTTTCCAGCCCTGGGAGTATCCAGGTGGGTGAGGAAGGCAGGGCTGAGCACAGGGACTGGCCCATCAGGGCTGCTGCATCCTGATTTCTGTGCTCTGCTCCAGACACAGCACAGCTCAGTCCTCATCCCTGTGCCACCCTCTGGCTGCTCCCAATTTCCATCACAACAAATTAATTTTGAGTAGCTGCTTTTCCCAGCTGGGCTCTTGGATGAGGTTATCACCACCTCCTATCACAACAGCCATAAAACTGCTAAGGTCATTCATATCTTGGTGTGAATTTCTGCTGGGGAGCTGATAGGAAATAACCTTAACACTGCAGATGCTTCTCTGAGGTGAACAAAGGGTACCTTAATTTTGTCTACAGAAAGAAATTCTTGCTTCAATATATTTTACAACTATGTTTCCATCTTTAAAAAATATAAAATTATGTATTGTGTTGAAATGTGAGGAATTGTTTCTAGAAAGAATGAACCCCTGTAGGGACTTGTAGATCATTTGAGCACCACTTGAGTTTTAAGACAATGGTTTAGGTTATGCTGCCTGTGCTGGTCAGCAAGTGGCAAACATAAACACAGGCTGGGCAGAGAATGGGTCAGGAATATTCCTGAGGAGAAGGACTTGGGTTGTTGGTTGAGGAGAAGTTCAACATGACCTGAAGTGCATTCACAGCCCAGAAAGCCAATCCTATCCCGGGCTGCATCAAAAGCAGTCAAGGGAAGGGATTCTGAGCTCTTGTGACACCCCACCTGCCGTGCTGTGTCCAGCTCTGGGGGTCCCAACATCAGAAAGGTGGGGACACATTTGGGTGAGTCCAGAGGAGACCAAAAAGATGCACTGAGGGCTGGAGCTCCTGTGGGAGTGCTGGGGCTCTTCACCTGGAGAAGAAAAGCCTCCAGGGAGACTCAGAGCCCCATCCAGTGCCTAAAGGGGCTCCAAGAGAGCTGGAGAGGGACTTTTAACTGGCTGGGAGTAACAGGGCATGGAAGAATGGCTTCAAACTGACAGCAAGCAGGGTTAGGTTAAATATTAGGAAGAAACTGTTTGCTGTGAGGGTGGTAAAGCCCTAGCACAGGTTACCCAGAGAAACTGGATGCCCCATCCTTGGTAGTGTTGGACGGGGCTTGTAGCAGACTGATCTAGTGGCAGGTGTCCCTGCCCATGGCAGGGGGCTGGAACTGGATGATCTTTAAGGTTCCTTCCAACCCAAACCATTCCAGGATTCTATGAAAGCAGAGCAAACAGGACTGTGTCTCAGATCCCATGGGAAAAAACAGGCATTTTGTGTAAAAAGCTGCCTGCTAACACATCCGGCCATCTCGCACTCCACAGTTTGTTGTGGAGTGGCTGACTCCTGTTGGACAAGGCAAGTGCATGAGAGTCCCTTCTCCTCCTGCCTTGCCCAGAGTTCCCTCACAGTAGCTGTACCTCTGTGGGCTGCTTTTCCCTGAATCCATTTAAACCCTGGCCAGAATTTAATCCATGTGCTCTACCTACCACTGATAAAATGCCAGAGGCAAACAAGGGTCTCTGTATTTTGTTGTTAATTGGGCCTGAAGTTTAGTTCAGTGGAGCATTTGCTGATCTCAAAATGGAGTTTAGTTTGTGTCTGCTGAGAGATGGTGATGACTTCATGGCCTGAGCTGGGAGCTGGGCAGGTGACATCTGGGGGCAGTGGGAGCACTGCCAGCCCTTGGGGTGGCTGTGGGGCTGAACCAGACCCTGCACTGCAGCTGTGGGCACTAAAACCCCACCCAAATGCTAATCATGGCACTGTGCCACCAGTGCCAGGCAGCCATGCAGGATTCATAAATGCATTTAGGTTTCTTTATAGGACTGCAGGACTTTGTCCAGTTTGCTGTAAATGTGACACTTCAGGAAAGGGTCAGGAGAATGACAGTGAGTGCTCACCTATGACTGGAACCTTCTCCATATGTAGTGTGTGACCCTTCTGTCACAGCTGAGGTAGGATGGGTCTTCTAAAGCAAGAAGACTTTGCCATGAGCAAAAGCAGAGATCCTGATAATGGCTGTACATCTGTACCCATTCTCCAGGTTTCTTTGTGGGTTTTTTTTGGCTGTTGGTTTGTTTGAGTTTTTTTTCATTTTGATGTGTATTACCCCATAGTGAAATAGGCAGTTAAAGAGTACAAAGAAATGTTAACAGTAAAGGACACCATCAGAAGGGGAAGCCAGTAACTATTACAATATGTATAAAGCCTCTCCAGGTATTCCTTTTTAGAGGTATGAGTGTGTGCAAGATTTGTATTTGGTTACCTCAGTCATGTGCTGTCTAACAGCTGTGTTCTGGAAGGGTTGTGGGGTTTTTTCTCCTCGTATGATTTACCACATTGCACAAGCAGAAAGTTTGAAGACATAAGCCTAAAAATACAAACTGCAGTATATGGTATAGAAAAATAAAGGCTAAGTAAAAAACCCTCTCTAGAAACTGCTCCACGGTTAAAGGGAGATTCCTGTGGAGATTGAGAAGGCTAGCTCACATCACAACCTAGTGAAAATTCATCTTGTTGTCATAAGATGCTCATACGTGCACACAAATACACACACACTCGCATATACACTTGTTTACAACAAAAGCCAATTTTCTTTGTGTTTGTTTTATGGCTTTAAGTTTCACATTGCAAAAGAGAGTGAGACAAAGACCAAAGACTTCAAGAAGTTCATCCCTCTCTGGTTGCTGTCACACCTGAAATGCATTAACTTTAATGGTGCTTTTTCTGAACTGGGCAGGAAAAATGCAGGTGTATCATAAAGCTTCATTTGATAGAATAAAGTGGCAGGAAGGCTCTAACATGGTTAACGGGGAGAGGAGGAAATAATGTGAAAAATCTTGAAATGTGTGCAGAGGGCAAGGTTACCTGAAATCTGAAATGTGGAGAAATAGCCCAGAAAGCTTAAAGACATCATCCTGGGCTAGAAGTATAAATAAACTGAGTAAATGGTGCCAGCTGTTCACTGGAGCATTAGCAGGGCAGGAGCTCCAGTGGCTGCTTTGTGGAGAAGAGTAACTGCTGCAATGATTTCATTTCAGAAGTACCTACACAAAAAAAAAAAAAAAAAAAAAAGAAAGAAAAGTTAGAGGCTGTGCTCTTTTTTATGGCTGACATTTTAAATTTTGAAATGTCATCATCCAGAATTCACCCCAGCAAGCACGGGGCGTGTTCCTGCCAAGCTTTGCCAAGCGCTGCTTTGGTGCTTTTTGAATGTGAAAATACCAGCCTTTTTATTGCCCTGGCTGTTCAGGAACGTGATCCTGGCAACTGTTCTCTTTTCCCCATTTTAACCTCTTTTTCCTCTGCACTGAAATTGCTGTATAATGTTTTGGTAGGTGGCATCCTGCCCTCAAATCCAGCAGCCCCCAAATCCAGCAGCCCCCAAACCCCAAAACCTGCATGTAGCAGTGGCATGACCATAAAACTGGGGACTTCAGGTAAATTCTGCCTGGCACTTGCTGTCCATTCACAGCTTATGTAGCCAAGCTTATGGCTGTGAGTGGAGCAGGGTTAAACACTGACGTGGTGCTGAGGTTATTCAAGCAAGAGTGGAGTGAATTAAACAAGGCAGGTAGGAGAGAAGGGGAAGAAATGGGGAGAGACATCACCCTAATCACAGTAATGCAGTCAACGTCTCTGTCCCTTTGCACTATTATACTTTAAATTAATAACGTCCATTTTACTAAATATGGTGGCAATTATGCTTGATCTTTTCATGGAGCTCAGTGGAATTACTGTCACTGAAACCACTTAGAGCTCGGGCTGTTCAAGATTGCTGGGGTGTTGTTTCCATCCACAATAACCACAGTGGCTTGGGGCTTGGATGGAAATTATAGTGAATAGCTTGTATTTAGAAAGCTTTTAAGTCTGCTGTGGTTGAGAGGCCCCTGGTTATGAACATCCAGCCCTGAGGCTTTATCATTTCAGCCTCTCTTGTCCTGCCACTTGAATTGTATTGTGCCCTTGTGAAAAGCGACACACGGTGTAAAGAACACAGGAAAAGATGGATATTTAAAGCTGCAGGATTTTTATCTGAAATGAAGAAGGAAATACAATCAGCGTGCCCCACTGAGATTTCCTATCCAAATCACTTTAAACTAGAGGTGCAAGTCCCTTAAAAATTAATTTGCTACAAGTGTCATTCCTGCAGCAAAGTTAGCACTGGTGTCTCTCCCAGGACATGTCTCACCTTCTTGCAGCTGGAGCCCTGTGGTGGCACAGATTTTGTAATCACCAGTCAGGAGAGATGGGCTGCCTGTTCAGAGGAAGTCAGGTTTCCTTTGAGGCAGCTGATCTCCATGGATTGAGCTTTTGTTAGCTTTTAACAAGGATTGAAGAATAGGAGGGATAGGTCCACTGTGAAATGATATGTAATTGTATGTTTGCCTCATTTAGTTGGTTGAAGCTTTCCATCAGGAAGATAAAATATCAGGGGCAATTTCTGTGAAAATTTTACATTTACACTGTGCCACCAAACGCTTCAGATAAAAACTTGCAGCTTTAGCTAAGCAGTCTTCTCTTCTGAGATTAAAAAGGCCTCTTTGGAGCCTCTCATCGGGTCCTACCCAAATGAAAAGTTTTACCACTTCTAGCATATTTGTCATTATAGGAACAGGCCCATTGCAAGGCACAAGTCATGTGCATCTTTGCATGTAACAGGAATTTTAAATTGCATTGTACTCTTACATTTTTTTCCCCATTCAAAGGCTTAACCACTGATAGGAGATAGAGCCCTCCAAAACCTTTACTGCTAAATGCATTATCTCTTCCTAAAGCAATGTATATCCTTTGGTCTTTTAAAAATTTCCTCATAATGGAGTCCTTGAAACATCTTAAGGCAGGCTCACGCTGGAGAGCAAGAGAGCAATTATTTGTGGGTGGTGCTATTTTTGCTGAGGCTTGGATTGTAGCTGAAAAAATATTGCTGCTGCCAGAGCTTTTCTCACACTCCCTTAGCTGCAAAGCCCACCAGCTGGATCTCCCCAGGGTGGCTGCCTTAGAGCAGGGAGTGACCTCCCACACCAAACCACAGCCTGATGATTTTTGTCTTTGGCTGGGTCCTCCTCTGGCCCTGTGCAGTCTGTCACAGATAATGAGACACTTTGGCAGTTTTAGTGGTTCTGCAGATGGTACCAGATGATGTATACCTGTGCCTGAGTGGGATAAATGATGCTGCTCGTTGTTGGGTGCTGTTCTCACAAGCCTTTGGCCACCTTGAGAGCAGGAACTCCTGAGGCAGGCACTGCTGGAGGAATTCACTTTCTTGTCACTTTTTGTGGGTTATCGGAGTGAGCACAGAAGTGAAGATGAACAAATCCTGCAGAGTAAGAGTGTGCCAGAAACCTCAGAAAGGGCAGATCTGAGCAAGCAGTGTCCAGTGTGTTTGTCAGAGAAGGGCTTAGTGGGCAGCATTCACACCTGCATTCCTGCCTAGGCCAGAGCTTTCCCTGAGCTGTGACCCAGACCTTGGTCTGGATCTGCCCTGTTGATAGTTTGGGAGCAGGGAAGGGACTGAGCTGCTGGATCTGGATTTTGTTTGTGGCTTTGTTTATTTTTTCCCACCTCGCATTTGAATTAGTTTCCCTGCGAGCAAATGCCAATAGAGTTGTCAATATTCACCAAAAAAATCTCCATATATGTAGAGCCAACAGCAAAACATTCAGTGAGAGTCAAAGGAAACCTTGTTCATCTACAGCAGCAGCAGAAAAGGCATGACCCCTATGCTACAGCAGTTTTCATCTGTGATGGGAAAACACTTTATCTGACCTCTACTCTGAAAACCACCAATGACCTTGATCATGTAAACAGGACAAAATGAATTTAAAGTCTGATCACAGTTCTCATGACAAAATTCAGATTTGTTTGGCTTTTTTTTTTTTCCTTTTTAATTTATGTATGTGTGTGGTTGTGTGGGAAAATATAAAGCTTTTTTGTATCAAATAACATCAATCCTTGCACACTCTATGCAAAATTTTGTAAGCATTGCAATAATGCTATGAATTACACAAGGAACTATTTTAACTTTATTACACTTTCTGTA